GAGGAGGAGGAGCAGGAGGAGGAGGAGAAGGAGGAGGAGGCGGAGGAGGCGGAAGGCCAGGAGGAGGAGGTTCCTTGCTCACCCCTCCTGCCTCCCCATCCTCCCCTGCACCTCCCTCTCTTGCACTATTCTTGAGCCTGGTCCCGCGATGGCGCCGTCGCAAAGCTTTTGGTCAACTCAAGAATGACCCGAGGCGCCGGAGACGCTTCAAATGCGCACGAAGAGGTCCCAAGATACCCAACAAGTAAAGAACGTTCCCAAGAAAATGCCAGCACAGCCCCAAGAGGCGCCCAAGAGGTTCCCAAGAGGGCCCCACGACGCTCCAGAAGAGCCCAAGACAGCCCCAGAGGGCCCAAGATAGCCGCTGGATCCAGAATTGTGGCCCGCACTGGGGCGAGATCGCCAGTCTGCACGACGGGAGCCGAGCGTCGATCCTAAAACGTGGCCAACGCTGCAGCATGAGCACAATTTTGAAGCAACGGGCACGTTTCGAATGGAAGAAACCATGTTCAAGACTACCTTTTGAGGTTCCATGCGTTTGAGACAATTGGATAGTGGAAAAAATCCAGCCGCGCTCGGACATGATCTGGAGTCAGGAAAGTAGTAATTATTCATGCTGGGAAATAAGTGTGGGGGACCAGCAGGGCGGGAGCGGGAGCCACATATAGAAGGGAGTGGGGTTGCCGGAAGAGGAGCGGGCGGGAGGATATGCAGGGAGGCAGAAGAGATACGGACATCATGAGGAGGACCATGAGAAAGAGGAGGAGGAGGAGGAGGAGGAGGAGGAGGAGGAGGAGGAGGAGGAGAAGAATGAGGACGGGGAGGCATTATTGGAGGAGGCAGTGGAGCAGGCAGCAGAACTGTGCGGAACGAGCAGGGCGGAATGAGTTTTTCGCGGGCGGGCGATTGGGCGGAGGAGCGGGAGGAGGATGAGCAGGTGGAGCAAGGGGGAGCGGTGTGAGGAGCAGAGGGTCGATGCGGGCATGGGCGGGAGGGAGGACCTGAAGGGCGACAGGCGGCGCAGCCTCTCCCCATTGGGACCCAGGGCGCCGGACACAAGGACTCTGCAAACCAGGACTTTCCCCAGCTCCAGCGGCAGAGGACGAAGAAGGCGGGCTGGTTCGGCCCACGGCCGCAGGCTCCCTCGGGCACGCCAACGCCCTGGTTTATTGCAAGTCCCCGTCTGCGGGCCTCTGGCGGGAGCCGCTGGTGCTTGGCGGCGAGTCGCCGTGCCGCGGCTGCGGGGGGCTGGAGAGGAGGTCCAGAGAGGCTCGGAGGAGTTGGCCTGGGAGCTCGCGCTGGAGCCGGAGGCGCCGGAGGCGCTGTCCGAGACGATCGCTGGGGCGGCGCTCGACTGGCGGAAGGCGGAAGACCACATCGACTTGGCCTCCCTGCCAGGCTTCCTGGCGCGTGCTGGCGTCCCCTATAGTGGGTGACGGCCACGGCCTTGAGTGACGAGTGCTTGCGCGGCTGCGCGATCGGAGTCGGGCGCGCCGGCGGCGAGCCCTGGGATATCGCTTGCGGGATGCTGCCTGGCTGTGCGCTGGCTGTTTCCTTCCTGTCCGTCCTCACGAGGACCCCTGGGATCCGACGCTGCAAACTACAATATTGCAACATCACGAAGAATCTCGAGGGGACCACTGGACCCCCTCTTTCCCGGCCGATCCGTGAGGGTCCTGGGACCCGAAATTGAACGAGAACGCCCGGCTCGGAAACATTGAGTTGCCAGGATCTCAGGGACGGTCAGGGAGAAAACGCGGGCGCCCTGCCGTGGTACCAGCATTATGTCGGGCCTGTCCCCCTACAGGGGGATTTTCGACGGAAAACAGAATTCCCAAAACAATATATCAAAAAGGCAAGAAAAATGTCAAAACATATTCCCCAGACTATTTTTGGGTTACTTTTGATTATTTTGGGGGTGTATTTTTTTTCCGTCGAAAAGCCCCCTGTAGGGGGACAGGCCCGACTTCATACCAGCACGCGGGGGAGCTGGACGACCCGCTCTGGCGAGGCAGCACGACGTGGACGACCTCACGCTGTGGGCGCGCGGCGGCCAGGGCGACGAGGCCGGCGAGGTGGCGGAGCCAGCCGCTCCAGCACTGGCGAAGCGTCCCGGCTCGCTTGCAGCCCCACCAAACAATGTTCTAAGAACCTCTTGTGGCTTCCACGAAATGTTCTTAAAACATTTCTGGCGGAGATTGCCTTGTTTTAACACATGGGGCTTCTGTTCTAAGAACATCGTTGTTGTTCTTAAAACATTTTGGGGTCCTAAGCACATTCCGTGGTATCACTCTAGGAATGCCGGGACTGTCGGTCCCTGCTCAAGTCGCTGGCGCATGCGCCATCGCCGCAGAGCCCGAGCCCGCCACGGGTTGGGGGCCGGGCAGTTTGCGAACACCGCGCAGCGCTCCGCAGATGGCTCTGCGGGCCCACGCCCTATCTCCAGGCACTTTGTCTTTCCTGGCAGCAGCTCGATCAGGTTGGAAGCAACAAGTCCGTCGTCACGGCGGTGCCGTCGCGCACAACTGCTGCGCGAATCCCCGAAAGCGATGGCAATTGCGAGACATCAAATCGGTCGACATGATGTTTGGAATTCTTCGTTCTGGTATTCGCTTTCGCGAACACCCTGAGCGCCACTTCCGCGACATCGGGGCGCCGCCGCGGGACGGGCGCCTCGCTGCGGCATGGGTGGCTTCGGGGCGCACGCCGCCAGAGTGTGGTTTTTGCGCGGATCGGGCGGCCCCCCCCCCCAGACCCCTGACGTCATCACCCTCTCATAACGTCGACCTCGACCCTTTCCCCGGGGCCCGTTTTTCATCCTGAATCGTTTTTTTGCAAAAACCTCCCGTCGTGATTTCGTTCAACGCGAAAGGGGTCTGGGAACGCCGCAGGGCTCCGCAGCTGGTTGGCGGACCAGACCCTTCGGATCCCTGCGGAGCGCCACTTCCGCGACATCGGGGTGGTCGCCGCCGCGGGACCGGCGCCTCGCTGCGCCGTGGTGCGGCTTCGGGGCACGCGCCGTTGGAGCCTGATTTTGCGCGGATCCGGCGGCTCCCCTTTGGAGTTCCGACATCGGTGCGTATTCGGAGGCTGGAGCACCTCGAGTAATGAACAAAAAACGACGGCAGGTTTCTCGCTACGTTCGGCTTCTAGGGTCCCTGACCGGGCATCGGGGCCAAAAAGCGACTCGGGGTGAGAAACCGGTCACGGGGAATGGGTCTGCTCCTTTGGGGGTCGCGTCCGGAAAAAAGCACGATGTCGGGGGTCTGGGAACTGGAACACACATATTGCCTGTGGCGGGATGTTTTTCAATCACATGACTGTTTGAGTATCGGGGACGACGTCCAGGTGGTTGGGTGTATATTTTTTCTGCTTCCTGGGGAATAACGAAACATGTATACTCCGGGATCCCGTATAAACCATGATCCACCTTCCTGTGCGCATTTCAGTGCGGGGTCGGAAGAAGTTCGACTCCCCTTTAGCCTGTGGAGTTCTGGCATCCCAGACCCCCGACGTCATGATTTGTTCACGACATCGACCCCCAGAGTTCGCGACCCATGTCCAGGCACCGGTTTCTCGTCCCGAGTCGTTGTTTGACAGTTCCGAGGCCTGGCAAGGGCCCCCAGAGGGCGAAAATAGTGAAACATTTGCTGTCGTTCGTGATTTTTCATGACCCGAGGGGGTCTGGGGACCCCTTTGATCCCTGCTGAGCGCCACTTCCGCGACATCGCGCTTCTGCAGGCCCGACCCCGGGCTGCTGGATTAGGCGGATAATGTGGTGCACCTCCTTCCCCCCCCTCGCCCTCTCCCCCTCTTTCACTCAGCCGCAGGGCTTCCTGCTGCGCCCGGGAAGAAGGGGGAAGAATGGCGAGGGATGACGGAGGAGGGGGGCAGAGAGAGAGAGAGAGAGAGAGAGAGAGAGACGGAGAAAGGGACATTGGAGAGAGGGAGAGAGGGGGACATGGAGAGTATGAGAAAGAGAGGGGGGAGAAAGGGGGGAGAGAGAAAGAGAAAGAGAGAAACAAGAGACACACAAATGGTATGCATACATACACATAGATAGGTGTGTGTGTGTGTGTGTGAGCGTGGACCCTCGGCTGCGAGTTATTGCATTGTGGAGCTGGAAAGTCTGCGGCGTAAGCTCTGCGATGGCAGTTCGGTTGTACAAGCTGTGCGGTGTAAGCTGTGTGGCGGTCGTTGCTTTGTTTCAGACAGGTTGTGAGCTGGGTGGTGTGAGCCATGTGGTGTCAGCTTAGAGGCCGTACCTAATGGAGGATGACGATTAATAAATGACCGGGGGTCGTGTTCACGCGGCGGCGCCTGGGATGACGATTAGAACAAACCGCCTGTGTATGCTCTGCTGCCCACACAGGTCACCGGGAGCCCACGAGCGCCCATCCGAGGCGAGCACCGGGCGAAATACCTCGACGGGCCCACTCGGAGCACGAGGCGCGAGTGCCAGCGAGGCGCCAACGTGGGCGGGCACGGGGCGCCGACGAGGAGGGGGAGGAGGAGGGAGGAGGAGGAGGAGGAGGAGGAGGAGGAGGAGGAAGAAGGAGGAGGAGGAGGGTGGAGGAGGAGGAGGAGGAGGAGGAGGAAGAGGAGGAGGAGGAGGAGGAGGAAGAAGAAGAAGAGGAGGAGGAGGAAGAGGAGGAGGAGGAGGAGGAGAGGGAGGGGGAAACCTCGGCGGACCCACCCAGGAGCAGGGGCGCGAGGCGCCCGGCGGGCGGGCGCCATCGTGGGACCTGCCCCCGCGGACCCGCCCAGTTGCCCGAGCACGGCAGGTAAGAGCACCCGAAGTGCAGGCACGGTTTGGATCATTACATCTGTGTATGTGTATATATATATATACACGCATAAAGATCCGGCAGGAGAGGGTGGCAACGGCATCGGTAACGCCGCAGCAAGAGGGAGGCTAGGAGCGAGTCTCGGAGGAGGAGTCACTGGCAGCGTGAGCTCAGGACACGAGGGGCAGGAGGGGGCAGCACCGTGCTGGCCAGGTCATGCTCCTGAGCTGCCGCTGCATCTTCAGCATCATCGACATCGTCCCCTCCACCGCGCGGACCTGCAGGGGGCACGCGAGCTGAGGATAGAGGAGTGACGAGGAGGAGGGGCCCTGAGCCGCAGGTGATGCTTTTACGCCACAGACTGTGCGGCCCCGGTGGGGAAGCACCCGGCCCTCGGCGGCTCAAAGAAAGGGAAGGGTGAGGAGGAGGAGGAGGAGGAGGAGGAGGAG